TTTGAAGGATTTAACTTCAGCCGGCTCCCACGCAGCCATCCAGCCACAGCTTCCAAGCATCTGAGCAGTGTGTCCTGGGCCGAGTCAGGGTGGCTGTTCATAAGCAGATAAAGCTGGATGTCATCAGCATATTGGTGACAACCCAGTCCAAAGTTCCAGACAATCTAGGCAAGGGGGCACATAAAGATATTGAAAAGCATCGGGGAAAGGGTTGTGCCCTGCGGCATTCCACACACCAAGGAGTGCCACGATGACAACTCCCTCCCTAGCACCACCCTCTGTCCCCGACCTGAGATAAAGGAAGGCAGCCATTGTCAGACTGTGCCCTGAATCCCCACGTCAGCAAGACGGTGGTCCAAAAGTTTGTGGTTGACCATGTAGAAGGCTGCTGACAAATCTAAAAGAATCAGCAGTCCCGACCCGCCTTGATCCAGCTGTCTATGGAGATTGTCTGTAAGGGTGACCAGAGTCGTCTCGGTCCCATAACCAGGGTGAAAACTGGACTGAAATGGATCCAAGGCCCATACTTCATCCAGAAACCTACCAAGCTGTTCCTTAACCACTCTCTCAGTTACCTTGCCCAGATATGGAAGATTCGAAACCGGGCAGTAATTGGATAGATCTAAAGGATCTAATGATGTTTTCTTTAAGAGCGGATGCACCACTGTCTCCTTCAACTCCCCTGGGAATGTTGATGATCTCACCCAGGGGGGCCTGCACCTCATCTGGACATGCTCTAATCAGCCAAGACTGACATGGGTCAAAGAGGCAAGTGGTGGTCTTCCAGCACGGAGGAATCTAACAGATTGCTAAACTACCTGCAGCATCAGGAGACACATGCCTTCATAGCTGGCAAACCAGACAGACTTAAAGAAGGTTCTCCTAGTCACTGGGGCCCCTTGAGCCTCCAGTGACAGTGTTGAATTGAGGAGCACCCCCAAATGGTGAATCTGCTCCTTCCAGTGGCATGCAACCAATGGACCAATGGTCTTTCTCGGTATAATACAGATTCCTATATAGGTTCAGTGAGTAGCTTTCCTAATGGAGCGAGTGTGATGTGTCCTACAGCATTCTCCTTGAAGCCAAAGCAAATGCCAAGGGAGCCCAGCTTGTCACCCCCTGATCCTAATCGGCACATCTGTCTCATCAAAAAGGCAACCTTGCTTTTCTTCCCTCCGGGCGGTGCAGGCCCACTTGACAGAGCTCTTTGCTGGCCTTTCATCCAGCCTTTCACGGATCTCTGCATATGCAAATTTCAAGGGAAAGCAGACTATCATTGCAAAGAAAGCATACTGCAAATGAGATGAACGAGAATGCTACTATTTTTAGTGTTCACGAATACACTTGCTGCCTGACTTGGCATTTTATTTTATGTTATTTTTAAACTTTCGCAGTTCATACTTAAACTCCAGAACTCCTTCCCACAGGACACACAGATGGCCACCAACTTGGAGAGCCTTAAAGAAAATTGGACAAATTCACAGAGCATAAGGCTACCAACAGTTACTGCTCATGATGGCTGTGATCTTTATCCACACTCAGAGAAAGTATGCTTCTGGATAGGAGTTGCTGGAAGCTGCAGGAGGGAAGAGTGCAGATGTGCTCAGGTCCTGACTGAAGACTTCCTATAAAATAGGATGCTGGGTTAAATGGGCCACTGCACTGACCAGCAGGCTCTTCTTATGTTCCCAGTCTAAGGGGAGAGATAGTAGAGGAATTTGCATTACTCACACCTTCTGAATGCACCCTTGGAACAGGGCTGCCCAGAGGAAATGAGCATCCTTTTGGACTACTTGCAATGTGCTTATGTGGGGCTACCTTTGAAGGTGACTCGAAAACTGCAATTAATCCAGAATGCGGCAGCTAGACAGGCGACTGGGAGCGGCTGCTGAGACCACATAACACCAGCCTTGAAAGCCCTACATTGGCTCCCAGTACATTTCTGAGCACAATTCAAAGTGTTGGTGCTGACCTTGAAAGCCCTAAATGGCCTCGGTCCTGTAAACCTGAAGGAGCATCTCCACCCCCATTGTTCAGCCCAGACACTGAGGTCCAGCTCCATGGGCCTCCTGGCAGTTCCCTCACTGCGAGAAGTGAGGTTACAGGGAACCAGGCAAAGGGCCTTCTCGGTAGTGGCACCCACCCTATGGAACACCCCTCCCATCAGATGTCAAGGAAGTAAGCAACTATCTTACTTTTAGAAGACATCTGAAGGCAGCCCTATTTAGGGAGGTTTTAAATATTTAATGCTGTATTGTGTTTTTAATATTTGGTTGGGAGCTGTCCAGAGAGGCTGGGGAAGCCCAGCCAGATAGGTGGGTTATAAATAATAAATTGTTGTTGTTATCGTTAACAGCTGCCCCACCCTAGAGAGAAATTGAAAGGAAAGTATTGCATTTTCCCAAGCCTGCTTAGTTGAAACTGCCAGGCACCAACATTTGGGGCTGGTGTATGGTACAATAATAGCAGGAACCAATTTGTTCTCTCAGTCTATGAATGAAAGGAAGTTCTGGGTAGCAACTACAGAGAACTGAAACCCATGAGAGGCTGGCAAGGAGGCGTGGCAACGTGGAGCTAAGCTTCCCAATAGCAAAGTTGCTGCCATGTACTGGGATGGTGAGCAGTCAGAGCAGAGCAGCAATGAGGCTGCGGTAGTTGGCTCTGCCATGGTGCCAGAGCTGCTCCCAACTTCCCTTCCCGCTCACAGGTATGCCGCACCGCCTCCTGCTGGCTGCTCCTGCAGAAACCTAGTACAACAGTTATCTTGAGTTTGGCTGTCATAAGAGTGGCACAGTATTAAGTAAAGTTTATTTGTTCCATGTTTGCGTCTCCAGTGACAACATTCTACAGGTTTGAAGCAGGGAATATTACCTGTGGCATCCTGGAAGCCAAACAAAGAACGAGAAACCTCTCTGCTCCAGTCACCTTCAAATAATTGCTTTTCAGCCAGGAGAATGATGGAAACAATCCTCTCCAGCCAAGCAGCCCTGAGAATAAACTGCCTTATTAGGGCTGGGCGAATATCTCCTCCTTTCCAACAAAGGTGGGAAGAGGAAATACTTGAAATAGGTGGTGGTGGTGGTGAGACATTTAACATTCAGAGGGCTTCTTAATAAACTTACAATGTTGTAAAGAGCTTTTTAACCATTTTCTTCTTTTGGAAAGGGGGGGGGGAGTCTTCCTTAAAAGGAAGGAATCTTTGGCCCTCCAGATGTTGCTGAACTACTGAAAAGAATAATAACCAGGGTTGATGGGAGTTGCAGTTCAGTAACACTGGCAGGGTCCACATCTGGAAGAAGAAGAAGAAGAAGAAGAAGAAGAAGAAGAAGAAGAAGAAGAAGAAGAAGAAGAAGAAGTTTGGATTTGATATCCCGCTTTATCACTACCTGAAGGAGTCTCAAAGAGGGTAACATTCACCTTTCTTTTCCTCCCCCACAACAAACACTCTGTGAGGTGAGTGGGGCTGAGAGACTTCAAAGAAGTGTGACTAGCCCAAGGTCACCCAGCAGCTGCATGTGGAGGAGTGGAGATGTGAACCCAGTTCACCAGATTATGAGTCTACCACTCTTAACCACTACACTACAAAGGCAATAGTCCCTCTGAAAGGGAAGAGGAAGCCACTGTTGAACCCTGAAAGTCTGCACAAACTTCCCTGGGCATTGCTTACCCCCCATTACCTTTGGAAGGGGTTCCTTGCCCCATGGAACCACCCAAAGTTCCACTACTGGGGCATTTGGAACAGCTCTGCCTGTGGAACTTTCAGATCTACATTATCAACCTGACCCCAGGCAGTTGCCTATGACTCTGGCTTACTCTGGTTCCTGAGAGGTGTATGAGACAACACTATGAAAGAGGCAAGAACTGTACATATCATGAGTAAGTCCCCTCCTAATAGGAGAAATGTGTCAAGCGAGAAGAACAACACTGAGCATTATGAGAAGACATAGAAGGATGAGCTTGTGGGTGTTCAAGAAAAAGTAAAGAGTGCTTTAGACCACTGGTAGAGACCTGTAGGCTCAGTGGCTCAATGCAGCCCACAGGAACTCTGCTTAGGCCATATCCCTTCTCTGGCCCTTGTTTGGACTCCAGGTGTTTTTACCAGGCTGGAATGTGTCGTTCTACTCTCTTGTCTGGGTGGAGAGGTTTGTGTGTGAGAGAGAGTCCTGTGGGAAGTAACCAACTGTACAAAGGTGATAGTTGCATTTGCTTCTCCTTCCAGTCTTGTCTCTGGCCTCACCCACCATGTGGCATGTTGCCCTCAGAAGGTTGCCCAGAATGGAGTGCGCCTCGTGGGTGGGAAAAGGCTCTCTATCTTTCAGAGGCTTCATGTTATATTCTTTTAATTCAGTTTTCCCCTGTGGCTGTTTTGATGGTCTAGAAGGGACATTGTGACTCCTGCAGGTGTGGCATGAGTGCAGGGGAGTGGAGCTCTTCCAGAAGTCACAGTCAAGATGGTTATATGTCAATAGCAAGGACCCCATAGAAGATTTATCAACCATGGCCGTATCAAACAGAACCTAGTGTTTGGAGATTGTACCCTGATCATTTCAGATCTGGGCTGACTCTCCTTGTATTTTTGATTGAAGTTATTATGTTTCCTTTCCCTGCTCTCTCCCAAGCAGTGTTAAAAACTAGACTGTAATAAATACAGGTGTGGGGGGGAAATCAAATTGCAGGAAAACAAATTCAAGCACTTACCAGGGACAAATGCGGTTTCCAATACATCTTCCAATCCAATGACTTTTTTTGCAATTGTATTAGCAAGCCCGATACAGGCACCTGATTACATCACCTTGACTTCCCAAAGCAGTATTGACAAGGCAGGAAAGGCAGCAGTGTTTGTAAAGTTTTGCTGAGTTTTCTGATTGCCAAGTTTTGCTTTCCCTCAATCTTGAAGAAGCATAAATGCTGCTGGCCTTAATTTCTAACAGAGAAAGGCTGGAAATTCATCATCTCATAGCTCACAGCTGTGCTATGTGGAACTTCCCCCCCAAATTGGAAGGGTTGTGGTTCAGTGGTAGAACATCTGTTTTGCATGCAGAAGGTCCCAGGTTCAATCCCCAGCATCTCCAGGTAGTGCCGCAACACGGTCTCCTGCCTGAAGCCTTGGAGAACTGCTGTCAGTCAGTGTAGACATTACTAGCAAATGTACCAATGTTCTGACTCAGTCTAAGGCACTTTCCTAGGTTCCTATTTAATCCAGCCCTTTATGCAGAACTATAAGCACTAGGTCTGCAGAGCAGGTGGGTGTGGCTGAGCCAAAATGACCCCTTTGGCCTGATGGGCTCAACTGGGCTTGTGGGTTATTAGTTCCCAACCACTGAACTAATTCTTGAAGCACGGAAATCACATTTTCTGCACCTTAACTGAATCTCTTACTAACTTAAGTTCTTTCTTTCTTTCTTGAAAATGACCCCCATGCAAATGAACATTTAAATTCCTTTCTTATGAATCATTCTTTAAGGCCTTAAATTGATGCAGTCAGCTTTTCCTCACGCATTGTCAAGTGCTGTCCTTAATAAAAAGAAGACACAATGATAACACCAGGATCAGAAATTAACCCTAATGGCTGAAGTCTCTTACCTCTGCCAAGTCATATAATCCACTAATACCTTTTGTAAAACACTTACATTTCACTTTAGAACAGCTTCCGTACCCCAATTGCTGCAGAATCTTCAGAATTGGATTTAATGAACGCCAGCTCACCTCCAAAGTTTCGCGTTTTAGAATCTTTGCTCTTTGATACACCTTACTTTTTAATATTGTCCTGATGGTGAAAGGTGGGGTTGGCTTAGGACATTTTGCTGCCTGTGGTGAAGGAGAAGACCATGTCTTCCATTACAAAAAGCTGACTGGCTTGGATGTTCAATCTTGCTTTGACACAGGTGATGGAACAGTGTCTTCCAACACACTTGGGTGCAGCAAGCAAATGAAGGGACCTAGGACTTTCTGCATGGCACATGGCACATGGCCCTGCGTGGCAAGGTCCCAGACCCTCCCAGGAAGTGCATCTGGCGCTGACCCTACTGAGTTTTTGACACTAGTTTAAAATGTTCTGCTGCATTCAGGCTTTGGGAGAAAGAAAGCTCTCAGAGCCAGACTCTCTCAGTCTATCAGTATCCCTTACTGTGCAATGAATTATTCTGAGAGTCATGTTGTGTGGTTTTCAGTGTTTTAAACGTATTTTATGTGGTGCTGGCCTTATTAATGCAGACCCACATTTTCTGGTGCCTCATCCTGGGATCAGTAAACTGGAGGGCAGGTTTATAAATAGGAGGAAGGAAATATATAAAGTGATCACTATGATTTCTCTTTAAAATAATGTCACCATGTGCTGATGTCATACTCTGCAATCGGGATGGCTTTATTTCTCTCTGAATTTGTTCCCCTCTGCAGTTCCCCATGCAGTGGCTGTGCTCCCACCCCTGGTGACTTCATTAGAAATGAAAGTCCTTCAGTAAGGAATGAAGAAGAACATCATGGGGTCTCCAAGGAGATTGTATCTACGTTTCTAGAATCCAAACAAGCTTCCTCCAACCAGCGCTGAAGAAAGAACGCACTAAATTGCCATGTAGCAGGCTGGGGGTGGGGGAGTAAACAAATGCAGCCACCGCATCTTCAGAGAAAAGAGAGAAGGACAGCTCGTGCTTACTCTCAGAAGATCTTTTTAATGCTTGAAAAAATTCATCTGCATTAAAAGAGGAGCAAAATGACATCAGCCGTATTTCTGCTTTTGTGCGTGAGTACACTCCCTGGCCATTGGCTGAATTTCTGTGATGTCATTGAAAGTTTTGCAAACACTTCATGTGGTAGCAGCGCTGCCCCTTCTGCAGCCTCAGATGAATTGCCACAAAGGGGTACAGGTGCACTTACCAGGGGTCTCCTGGCTTAGTGCCAGATGATAATAATAATAATAATAATAATAATGATGATGATAGTAGTGTGTGTATTATTTATACCCCGCCCATCTGGCTGAGTTTCCCCAGCAACTCTGGGCGGCTCCCAATCGAGTGTTAAAAACAACACAGCATTAAATATTAAAAACTTCCCTAAACAGGGCTGCCTTCAGATGTCTTGTAAAGATAGGATAGCTGCTTATTTCCTTCACGTCTGAAGGGAGGGTGTTCCACAGGGCGGGCGCCATTACCAAGAAGGCCCTTTGTCTGGTTCCCTGTAACCTCACTTCTCGCAATGAGGGAACCGCCAGAAGGCCCTCAGCGCTGGATCTCAGTGTCCGGGCTGAATGATAGGGGTGGAGACGCTCCTTCAGGTATACAGGACCAAGGCCGTTTAGGGCTTTCAAGGTCAGCACCAGCACTTTGAATTGTGCTCAGAAACGTACTGGGAGCCAATGCAGATCTCTCAGGACCGGTGTTATGTAGTCCCGGTGGCCACTCCCAGTCACCAGTCTAGCTGCCGCATTCTGGATTAATTGCAGTTTCCGGGTCACCTTCAAAGGTAGCCCCACATAGAGCGCATTGCAGTAGTCCAAGCGGGAGATAACTAGAGTATGCACCACTCTGACGAGACAGTCTGTGGGCAGGTAGGGTCTCAGCCTGCGTACCAGATGGAGCTGGTAAATAGCTGCCCTGGACACAGAATTGACCTGCGCCTCCATGGACAGCTGTGAGTCCAAAATGACTCCCAGGCTGTGCACCTGGTCCTTCAGGGGCACAGTTACCCCATTCAGGACCAGGGAATCCCCCACACCCGCCCGCCCCCTGTCCCCCAAAAACAGTACTTCTGTCTTGTCAGGATTCAACCTCAATTTGAATTTGAAAGAGCAGGAAGAAAAGAGAAATAGTGAGGAGAGCACATGAAATTGCAGGAAGCAGAGGGAGAGAAGGGACATGGATAGGTGGAGGATCCACCTTGCACACAGAAGGCCCCAGGTTTAATCCTCAGGCAGGACTGAGAATTCCCCCTATCTGAAACTCTGGAGAGGCACTGCCAGTCAGAGTAGGCAATATTGAATGAGATGGTCTGTCTCAGTATAAGGCAGCTTCCTATGTCCATATGTGTTGTGGAAGTTAAAGCAGGCAATGCAACTGGAGGGGGCAGAGGCAAAAAATGAGGGAGGGGAGGTTTACATAGCTGTTAGCAGCCTAGTCATGTCATTAAAAGGAAATGTTTTTGCTGCCTGCCTGCCTCTGGATCAGTAAGTTCCAGCCCAGGAAGTTCCAACGAGGCAGAGCTAACAGACTAACTCTGCATTCCTCAGGTTGGTATGTATTTTTTCCCTCCTTTTTTCATCATCTTTACATTAATCCTGCCAAAGCCACGGCTAAAGCAATTGAACATGAACAAATAGAAAAGCTAATGATGTAAAGTGCATTGTGCTCTGTTGCAACGCACAAAGGCAATTTCCTGGCAGGGATCAAATAAAGTGGGATTTGATGAAGAGGAGGAAGGCATCGGTAGAGGAAAACCGTGGGCCAAATTCACCGATGAGTCACACGGGACTGCCAGTTTCGTGATAAGTGGGTTCTTAGTAAGAGATAATGGGAAACTGTCTCACCGGTACCTTGTGGAGGGCCTGGGATCCTGCAAGGGCTTTGAATTCACAGTGACTTGCCAAAAAGGGATTTGATTTATTCTTAAATTGTCATCAGGATTCCTGTCCAAGAGGATTATCATGAGGGTGCAGAAGGTTTTGTGGGTGCAGAAGGTGGGGTGGGCAGGCTGGAAGTGGAGCAGTGGTGCAAAGACAGATCCCTCCGTGTGTTCCCAGAAGCTCCTAGGAGTCTTTGTGGCTAGGAGTGTCTTCTTTGAGCTCTGGCTGGTTCACCAGCTGCAACTCCTTTTGGACAGAGATGTCTTGGCCACTGCACTCTATCCAGACTGGATTATTGCAATGCACTCTATGTGGAGCTGCCCTTGAAGACGACTCAGAAACTTCAGTTGGTCCAAAATGCAGCAACCAGATTGCTGTCTGAGATTCCATTTCAAACTCATATGCAGTGGTACCTCGGGTTACATACGCTTCAGGTTACATACGCTTCAGGTTACAGACTCTGCTAACCCAGAAATATTACCTCGGGTTAAGAATTTTGCTTCAGGATGAGAACAGAAATCGTGCAGCAGCAGCAGGAGGAGGCCCCATTAGCTAAAGTGGTGCTTCAGGTTAAGAACAGTTTCAGGTTAAGAACAGACCTCCAGAACGAATTAAGTACTTAACCTGAGGTACCAGTCTAAAACCTTGCTTTAAAACAGCTGCACTGGTTGATAGTTAGTTTCTGGGACCAATCAAAAGTACTCGTGTTAGGGTTTAAAGCCCTAAACAACTCAGCCCCCAAATATCCGAAAGACCGTCTCCTTCCCCACTGACCCTCTTGGGTGCTGATATTGGCAAAGGGGCCTCTTGGTAGTTCCTTCACCTTCAGAAGCTTGAGGAAGAAGAGCATTCTCTGGGTTGCCCGTATGTTGTGGAGCTCCCTCCTCACAGTGCATTGGTATTATACAATTTCTGGAGGATACTGAAGACTCAACTCTTTGCCCTGACTTCTGACCCTTGAGGTATATATTTTTAGGACTCACCTTATTTTTGTGTTGCAAGTTGTTTTAAACTGTTTTGATATTGGGTTTCAATGTTTAAACCCACCCTGGGACCTTAGGGTGAAGGTCAGGTAATGAAGAACAACAATATTGGAGTTGTGGGTGCATCAGAGGCGGGTCCTAGGTGGAGTGAGTGGGAACTTGGATGTGCCAAGGGAAGCAGAGAAAAGGCACACGAAGCAGGCTAAGAGAAGGAAACGGAGAAGATGAGAAAAATGTTCATACCTCAAAGGAGGTGAAGACTGCAGATATGGGAAAAGGCTAGAGAAGGATCTGGGACTCTTAACCCCATTGGTGAGCCAGGAGAGGTAGGAGAAAAGGCAGCTGGATTCAGTGGGGGCAACTGTACTATAGAAAATAAAGAGAGGATTCTGTGACTAAAGGAGTACTCAATATATCGGACACAAGGACCCACCAGATGGTATCTGAAGTAAAGAGACACCCTGGGACACTCATAGGGACCTTGGGAAAAAATTTTTACACAAGGATTTATTATATCTCCAGGATACACACCTCC